GAGATGCGAGGGAAATGCGGCTATTTGATTTACGAGCGCGCTGTGCTCATTTCATTCATTCGTGTATCGTAATCATGTCGTCTCCCAAGGTTTAAAACTTTTAAATGTACATGCCGGTATCATAGTAGAAAATGTTTTATGCAGTATTTTATTGATAGTACTCTTGGTGCGTTGCTCAGTGTACACTCATTCACTTCACACACGTGAATCGTCACTGGTCTCATGATTCGATTATCATGTCTTCGATTCGAGATCACAATGCATCAAGATGTGATGCAATATTACTGCACATGGCTACATTTTCATCAATGAATACAAGCAGTCAGATATATGAACTCTTTTAATAAAGTACACATCCTGAATGTAGTCAAACAAAAAACAGTCTTGTGCACTCAAACCTTAACTACATAAATATAGTATTCAGTGTTTGTTTCCCCTAGGATTTTTTTTTTTCTGCTAGTGTTGCGGAGCGGGCGTGTTACGGATACATGGTTTAAATCTTTTAGCAATAAAAAAGAGTGTCTAATTAATTGAAATAATGTATTATGAATCATTAAACTTATACAACATTTAAAAAAAATATATGAATTTTTTTTTCACTTACTCTGTGTTGTTTTTTCTGGTAATAAAATGAAGACATAAAACACAGATTTTATCATTTATCATCAATTTTAATCGCATGAAATTAAATAAACTTTTTGTCAAATAACGTGCTGCACAATGAGCTTTACTGTTAAAAATAAAACATGGATTATTCCTTAAATTCAGTTTTGATGATAATTTATTTGGATTAGTGTTAGTATTATTACATTGGGACATATCTAAATTCTACTGTACAACGGTAATATATTTCTGTCAAGTTAAACCGAACTTTTATTTTGACGGGTTGCCGTGAAGACCTTTTGAGTTTCTGTGTGTTTGTCATGATGATAGTTTTTCTCAAATGAAGCGGTTAAATGATCACGAAGTGACTTTCGGAGTGGATCTAGAGCCTGGAGAGGAAGTTCATGCATTTGTGTCTTCATATAGGCCAAAAAACAGCGCAAGCGTCACACGTGCTTCAGTGTGTGTGTGTGTGTGGTAAATGAAACTGCGCGTCAGCTGCACCATTCATTCACACAGAACGAGCAGGATTCGTATTTACAGTTTTTTACAGTCGCTAGGACACATTTCTCAATACTTGGGTCACTTTTTCAAAACTCTTCACACAGTTCTCCTAACTAACTTTCAGCTCGGCACAGCAGTTCATTTCACATTCAAAATGCACTAAAAGTACAGAATCACTTCGTACGTGTCTCAAATCAACACATTCTTCCACAACACTAGCAAAGGTTGACAGCCAACAAACACACTTTGTCACCCACAAAACAATACTAAAAAACACTAACAACAGGAAACTTTATACAATATTTTCCTCTGTAAATGCCTTTCTTCTACCTCTCTACTGTTTAGAAATCACTGCAATATATGTTACTAGAATGAATTGGACATGATGCAGTAGCCTATGCTTCAATACTTTATATATTTTATGTTTTTGGAGTAATTCCAAAGTACAATCCACTGATTCAGATACAATAGGAATCAGCTGTGGTTGGTCCAAATGTCCAATTGTTTTTATCCCATTTAATTTTTAGATTTGAAATATATTTCATTACAATATTATTGTAGAAATGTGGCAAAATGCTGTCTTATTCAGTTTTGTATTTTGTTATTGTTTTGAACTTAAGTTTAACAGTTTTGAAAACAGTATGTAAGCATGTGCAAATTGACCTGTAGGTACACAGAGTTTTGGCGGTTGTTGTGTCGAAGTGAGAAAATAATTAATGTACTTTGAAAGATGTAGTCATTGAATGCAATTTGTGCCAAAGCAATGATAAATGATCCACAGTTTAGCCCACATATACTTCTGTTGTGCTCACTGTGTGAAGAGTTTTGAAAAAGTGACCTAAGTATTGAGAAATGTGTCCTAGCGACTGTAAAAAAAACTGTAAATTGTCTTTGTGGTTTAATATCCACACACACTTGTCTACATCGCGATTTGATTTCAAGTGTACTGAACTGCTTTCTATTTATTCCTCAAAAGATTTACAAATTCCACGTAAATTCCTTTTTGATGACTGGATTTCGTCAGCATTTTAGGGGGGATGGGGGGGGTCGTTAGGGGGGGCGGGGGGTCGTTTTGGGGGGCAAGCCGCCCACCTGAAACAATGGCAGGGAAAACACTGGTATTTCTTTTTTTATTATTGTTTTTGCTTTTGAACTAAACACATGAACAAATACGGGAAACAAGAACAAAACAAAAAAAAACACAAAAAAATAAAATAAAAACAGCCTCTCAGTATTTTAAATTGCTATTCAATACCTCCTCTTTTCTTAGTCTTTTATTAACACCTTTCCAAGTCTACCACATTTTAAAAATGATCTGAAAGGTCCCCAAACTCCATCAAAAATTGTATATTTGTCCCTTAAAATATAAGTCATCTTTTCCATTGACATATTTGTTAAAACACTGGTATTTCTTAGTTACAAACCTGAAGATATTCATGAAACTAACCGACCCAAACCCGCAAGTTGTTCGGGACCCATGAGGCTTGGGTCGTGTAGCAGACCTCTAATCTGCATATACAGGCGTCAGATCAATTACTTATCATGACTTGCGTGTCTTTCTTTTCAGGTTGAGAAACATTTTAGAGATGTGGAAAGCCAGAAGTCGATGCAGCGTACACAAGCACAGCAAACACAGAAGGACTCGTCTTTATCCTCCTGAGTGGGGGGTATGGCTCATCTGGGGAGGGCACCACGGGCATCAAGGGCCTAACAGCTGGTCCAAACCAGCGCTCATCTCCCCCTCTGCGTCGTAGTCCGAGGGTGGATGCACCAAGGGCCTAGGGTCTGGAAGATCAACAAAAGAAACAAAAAAACACAAAAAAAAAAGCAAAAATGTTTTAAGAAACATGAGAGTGAAAAGAGTTCATTCTAAATTAGACTTTATAAAGATAATTTAAAACACCAACCATCAAACAAACCATAGTTTCTTTGACTAACAGTGTCTTATCCCCCCTCTGCCCCTTCTTCTTCCTCCTCCTCCTCCTGTGTTTCATCTAAAAATAGCTTTTCATATTTTCTTCTCTCTTACATCCCTCCTTCGCCTTCTATTCCATTTTGTCAAAAAAAGAAAAGAAAAAACAAACCAGTCAGAAAAGCTTGTTAGCTTTATTTACTTTGATGCATTTTTTTTCTTTCTTTGGCTGTTTGTTCTACAAGTGTCTGTCTGTTCTGTATTTTAAACAAAATGTGACTTCAGATGCCACATGTTACAAAGGACATTTTCTAAAATAAAAATAACAGAAATTCTGACTGTAATATTGTACTTTCAGTTGCTTTTTCAGAAATGTTTGAAAACAATATGCTTGCAAAAGGAGTTAAAAATATTTGCCCTTTCAATGAAAGGGTTAAATGCTTGAAACACTTGTGGCTTTTTTCCACCTGTTCTAATCAAATAGCATTTTATTCGTTTAGCAAAAACCACAGTAGTTAAACTGATACACATTAACACAACAGTGGCTCAGTATAGCTGGCTACCAAACTAGTATTATGCCGTATTATGTACAATATTCTGCGCATGGCATGCGTCTGTTTTGTACACGTGGAATAGCTAGATGACTTTCTACATTTGCCAAACCAGTATACCATGTTGTAATATGCTTGATATTGCAGCTCCAAGATGGTAAAATCATCAATCAGCTGGTTTTATTTTCGTTATAATTGGACACTTTGAATTAAATGTACCGTGTGATGACTGTAACATAATTATTTGAAACAAATAGCACATCATATTTTCCCAAACCATGTAGATTTCACAAAGTATTTTCTGAGCTAGTACTTCTTTCCAAAATTATTTAACCATGGATTTCTGTCCAGTACAATAGAACGCTTTTTTCTTGTCACGTGTTGAATCTCTTTCATTTTTGGAGTAATTTTAGAAACCGTAAAAAAAAAGTAGTTCCAGGTGCACGTGTAATTAAAGCAAGGTTTACAGCTCAAATATCTTAAACCTCATTATCTACCAACAGCCTTTGGGTTAATTACACGAATAGAGTTTCAATGGATTATTTATCACTGCTATGAACTATAAAAAGGTTTTGACTTTCCTTGTCACTACTATGGAAGTGTCAAAAGCTCTTGATCGTTCTTGAATAAGGTTAGATTATCTCTGTAACTAATACACGTTTCATTCACACTGCTGGCACCCGTTTCCATCTCTAAACACCTCACCGTGGTACACGTCAAAGATTTAACATGGTGTAAGATGCTCTGTTGGGGTTTCTGTTGAGATCTTTAACATGCTTAACTGTAAGACTACACTTCCTGCTTAGAAATTGATGGACGGTTCAATGAAATATTCAGTATGTAGCAAGTACTCTTGTTTCTTGAGTGATGCAATGTGCTTTGAGGATAAATCAAGTCATAGAGACTCAAAAGCAGGGTTGCACGCAGGACGCTCTGCATCCAGGTGCAGTTTGCTTTAGATTGAAATCAGAACTTGACGTTTTTGAGGCTTTGAGTTTCTTTATTAGTAGTGGAACAAGACCCAAGGCTGCAGATGTCAGGCTTACCTCATTTGTAAGTGGCTTTGGAATTAAATGTGGTATTGTTCAGATTTCGAGTAAAGGTTTAAAGTAGGAATCTAATTGAATTTGATATGAGTGTGGCATGTTTCAACTCAACCAGTCGCTCCGTATTCTTGAAGACCGACTTGTGCAGTTTTTGGTAAGTACAATTAGATCTGTAATTCTTTAAGCATAAATGAATGTCTTGGAAATTTGATCCACATATACAGCTTGACCAACATGATGCATTCTGATGCTGATTGTGTGAAATGATAAACGGATTAAAGGATTGAGCTCTTTATATAATTTGAGGACTCATGCCAAGCCACAAATCCTTGTAGATCTCAGAATTCAAACCGTTTGAAAATGAATGCTAGATATACAGGAATATACCAGTTGATGTAATTTCCTTTCAGCTCAACCAGACGCTTCTGCGCTGAGAACGAGCAAGACGAGCGTGCTTGTTGATATGGATCTTTTTTTGAATGAAATCTCTGAGCTCAAGTTGAAGATGATTTGCGTCGTATTTTTACCCATCACTTTCCTAGTCGCTGGAGGCTTAAAGCTCTGCCCTCATCAGTGTTCTTGTTACGGAGCATCTGAGCTGGTGGACTGTCGATCCTGAGGGTTCACTCACATTCCCCACAGTATTCCACATGGCACGTGGCTCCTGGACCTCAGTGGGAATAAGCTGTCGGAGTTGAGGAGTACCTCTTTTACTGGGATATGGGTCCTCCGGGTCCTTCTGCTTTCACAAAGCAACATGCAGGTGGTTCATTCTCAGGTGCGCTTAATTTAGGTTGTCTTTACAAATTTCTATACTATACTCTTAAAATAAAGGTTCTTTATTGGCATCGCTGATTCAATGAAGAACCTTTAAAGTTTATGAAATCTTTCCATTGCATAAAAAGTGTGGAAAAAGGTTCGTCAGATTATTAAAATGTTCTTCACACTCAGAGAAATGATTCTTCTTCAAAATAAAGGTGCTTTATTGGCATATACATGCATGAACTTAAGTATCCCTGCGACATTTCCATTGGACATAAGGTTCTTTATAGAGGAAAAAGCCCACTCTCCGTTCTTTGCACGAAGATAAAAATGATTCAGGAACTTTTCACTGAAAATGGTTCTTCTATGGCATCTCTATGAAAACCTTTTGGAAGATATATTTTAGAGTTTAGAACAACTATTTTGGGTTCCTCAGAAGAACCTTTCAGTGAACATTTCTTAAAGGGGTCATATAATGCCATTTTTGTACAAGCTAATATGATTCTTTAGGGACTAAATTAAAAGTTTGTAATATACTTTAATTAAAAATTCTCATTAGTATTGTATGAAAACACTTATTTTACCTGGTCAAAAACAGCTCTGTTTTCAGCACGCCGTTTCAGTGCATATGACTTTAAATGATCATGAGCTTTGCTGACTCCGCCTCTCTGTTCTATGCGTACACGTTTGTAACACAATACCATAACGTGTTGTTCATTATAAACGTGGGATTATGAATTATATGGAGAACGTCGTACATAGAAAACATGCAGTAATGTACCCTGAGTGTAAACCTTAGACTCATTCATCGTGAAGCGATTTGCAAAGATAAATATTAATATAAAGTTTAATAAAACGTTACACTCACTTCAGTTGTTCTAGAGGTTCAGCAGGAACACGAATATCTGGTACCGATTCTTTATTCAGGAGCAGCTGCTTAGCAAAACCAGCTTTATACTGATCCTCGTTTATAAAGCAGTCTGGTGAGAAACGATTCGCGCAAACATGAGAGCATTGACGTTGCTCGTGGGGAATATTCCCTTCGAAAACAAACTCAGCCACTGCGTCTTCAGCGGTTCGGATTTAGGAACATTAAAATGACTGCTGTGTTCGTTATTACACCCAAGAACAGAACACCACAATCGCTTAGACGCCATTCTGCTCATAGACAGTGCTCCAGCATATCAACAATGACCGCGCCGGTCCGCGCAGACTATGATTGACAGCTCTCACGAGCGAGGGCGGGTCTGTGTTGAAACGCGCCTATCAATCAACAATCGCGGGAGGGGCGTGCGAGCTTGTGACGTCACACGGTCGAACGGCTCGATTTGAGGCAGGGGAAAACATATAAGGAGATTAAAACAAAACCACTGGATGGATTTTTATCATTATATGATGGTTGTGTACAGGCACTGCCAACACACATTTCAGTACAATCAACTTAAAAAAGTGCATGTACCATTATATGACCCCTTTAAAAGAACCATTTTTTCTAGTGTGAAGAACAATTTAATCATCTAAAGAACCTTTTTTGTACTATAAACAACCTTTTGTCCAATGGAAAATGTTCCACTGATGTTAAAGGTTGTTCATGAAACCATAGATGCCAATAAAGAATCTTTATTATATATATTAAAACCTTTATTTTTACGTGTATTTAAAGGGATAGTTCGCTCCAAAATTAAAATTCTGTCATTATTTAGTCTCCCTCCTGATGTTTCCAAACACGACTTTCCTCTGTGGACCACAAAATTAGTTATTTGTGATGTCTGAAAAACATCTGTCCATTCAATGAAAGTGTATAATGTTGTTTTACACCTCTATGACTTTAAAAAAAATCTTTTGTGTTCCACAGAAGAAAGAATGTCATGCGGGTTTGGAACGACAGGAGTGTGTGTAAATGACTACAGAATTGAGTGAACCATCCCTTCAAATGTGATTCAAAAATGCATTCCTCGGCTCTGCCTCTCTCTTTGGTCTTTAAATTTCCGTTTAAAAGGATTGTTAGCCGATTGTGCTTTGTTTCTGTTCCAGGCTCTTTCCTCTCTGACCTTCCTGGAAAAGCTGGACCTGGCTTACAATGAGCTCCGTGTCCTTCCTTCAGATTTCTCTCAAGGATTGACCTCTCTTAAAGATCTTAAGCTTTCCCACAATGCTCTGGAGCGCCTTGAGACGCGCTCCTTGGAGGACCTAGAAAACCTGGAGAGGTTAGATCTCAGTCACAACCACATTCAGGTCATTGAAGTCGGGTTATTTCGTGGACTTACCATGCTAAGGCACCTTAACCTGGCATGGAATCAATTGACGGTTCTCCAAGGAGGACTGCTGACCATGCAACAAGGTCTTGGGGTTCTTCTTTTGGGCCACAATAATATCTCCAAGATTGAAGTGGAAGCTCTGACTCCCCTACGAACCCTCACCATACTGAACTTAGAAGCCAACCAGTTGAGAAGCCTGAAGTTCAAGACAATCTTAAACCTTAAGACGCGCAGCACGCATCTGCAGTTATCAGAGAACCCTTGGACGTGTGACTGCGATCTGCATCGTGTTTTCAGTAAGATACTCCGCGTCAGGCATCTCCACATGGATGATTACGTCAATATCACATGCCACTCTCCGCTCTTACTGGCTGGAGCTTCTCTGGGTTTGATCTACAGTCAGCTGTGTGTCGCAGAAACGGCCACCGTCCTGGTCATTACTGGAACTGTGATGGTCACTGTGGTGGCGGCCATGGTTATGGCGGAACGGAAGAGAAAGAAGAAAAAGATGAACCTGGAAAAACAAGGAAACGATCCAATGCCTTGGGAGTCTTACAAATGAAGACGGGACGAAAAGTCAACAGGTGTTAGAAATACAATCTTATTTTACACTATCAGACCAGGTCTTCGTTTTTGTGCATGTGGCACATATCCATACTCACTTCAACGTGAAATCCTAATTGAACCCTTTTACTTTCCCAATGCATGTTCCTAGCCTAATAAATAAGTTATTCTTTGTCAAATTATAATAGGATGCCTGCGGGGATGACGTATTTTTGTAGGCTAAAACCTGGAAATGACCATTTCAGCACGTCCGGTTCCATCGTCTTGAAGTCAATGGGGTTTTTTTTTAAAGGGTTTTTGGTTAAATGCCTGAAATAATGTCTGTGGTTAACACAAGGTCAAGATATCATCACATTTCATACTGTGACATAAAATAAACCAGTAATACACCCTTGGGATTTTTATCAAGTTTGAAAAAGGCGGTTGCTAACAAGTGTCTAAATGAGACTGCAGAAGTTGTTTATAATCGCGCTCTTTCAAACTATTATAACTCGAACTTTCAGGAAAAATGTTTTTAAACAAAGACTGATTGGGAGAAGCATAATGGTGGTGATGTTGGAGTCATGTGACTGCGGTGTAGCCTAACTTAAGCATTTTACTTCTGACGATTGTATTTAGACTTCAAAATTCATAAAAGTGAAGCTTATCGTGATGAACAAAACATGTAAGAATCATAAACTTGTTTTGGTCACAGAGCTTATTTTCTGCAATAATACAAGAGTCAATGGAAAAATCCTAATGACTTTTTGTTGAGGGAAGCAAACAAAAATGCACCATCACTGCAGAGCTCTATAACTCATACCCATGCTGAATTAATGGGATTGATTATATTTTACCTTGCTCTGAGAAATGTCACATTACTTGTTTGTGAACGCCGTTTCACATTGACTCTGTCATCACTGACCTTTCCACAGACTTTGCATTTTTTTGTACATTATTAGTAACATATACAGTACAATAGTTTGATTGGAAATATGCTAATTTCTGGCTTAGTTTTAGAAGATTTTTGCTAAATGTAGAAAATGCTGCTAAAGGAAATTCGACTTGAGTTTGGGTTTCAGAATTCAAGATGGTCTCAAGCAGAATGACATGAAAAACCAGCGAAGGAACTCAATACCCGGAGCACCAGCCTGACGTTTTGGGGACAGCCTGTCATTTTATTCAATGTTACTTTAAATACACATAAAGGGATTCTAGTGTGTCCTTTGTGCTTGTGCTGGACCATTTTTGCTTGATCAACATTTTCTTGTTGACCAGATTATAAACTGAATCTTTCAGAGAACTTACATTTGAAACTTTATTTTAGTTTCAGTTTGTACACTTTGAGGGATAATATTTTATCAAAATCTATGTGGATAAAATAACACAAAGGTTGATGTAATTTTATAATACTGTGAATTCTTGAGTTGCTGTTGTAATATTTACTCAAAAAAAATCTCTCTCTCTATATATACACTCACCTAAAGGATTATTAGGAACACCTGTTCAATTTCTCATTAATGCAATTATCTAATCAACCAATCACATGGCAGTTGCTTCAATGCATTTAGGGGTGTGGTCCTGGTCAAGACAATCTCCTGAACTCCAAACTGAATGTCAGAATGGGAAAGAAAGGTGATTTAAACAATTTTGAGTGTGGCATGGTTGTTGGTGCCAGACGGGCCGGTCTGAGTATTTCACAATCTGCTCAGTTACTGGGATTTTCACGCACAACCATTTCTAGGGTTTACAAGGAATGGTGTGAAAAGGGAAAAACATCCAGTATGCGGCAGTCCTGTGGGCGAAAATGCCTTGTTGATGCTAGAGGTCAGAGGAGAATGGGCCGACTAATTCAAGCTGATAGAAGAGCAACTTTGACTGAAATAACCACTCGTTACAACCGAGGTATGCAGCAAAGCATTTGTGAAGCCACAACACGCACAACCTCGAGGCGGATGGGCTACAACAGCAGAAGACTCCACCGGGTACCACTCATCTCCACTACAAATAGGAAAAAGAGGCTACAATTTGCAAGAGCTCACCAAAATTGGACAGTTGAAGACTGGAAAAATGTTGCCTGGTCTGATGAGTCTCGATTTCTGTTGAGACATTCAGATAATATAGAGTCAGAATTTGGCGTAAACAGAATGAGAACATGGATCCATCATGCCTTGTCCCCACTGTGCAGGCTGGTGGTGGTGGTGTAATGGTGTGGGGGATGTTTTCTTGGCACACTTTAGGCCCCTTAGTGCCAATTGGGCATCGTTTAAATTCCACGGCCTACCTGAGCATTGTTTCTGACCATGTCCATCCCTTTATGGCCACCATGTCCCCATCCTCTGATGGCTACTTCCAGCAGGATAATGCACCATGTCACAAAGCTTGAATCATTTCAAATTGGTTTCTTGAACATGACAATGAGTTCACTGTACTAAAATGGCCCCCACGGTCACCAGATCTCAACCCAATAGAGCATCTTTGGGATGTGGTGGAACGGGAGCTTCGTGCCCTGGATGTGCATCCCACAAATCTCCATCAACTGCAAGATGCTATCCTATCAATATGGGCCAACATTTTATAAAGAATGCTTTCAGCACCTTGTTGAATCAATGCCACGTAGAATTAAGGCAGTTCTGAAGGTGAAAGGGGGTCAAACACAGTATTAGTATGGTGTTCCTAATAATCCTTTAGGTGAGTGTATATATATATATATATATATATGTGTGTGTGTAACACCATGCAATAATTAAACGATTTTGTAGGTTCCGTACAAAACAATGATTTTTTTTATTGACATTGTGATTTAATAGAAGTTGTACAAGGAATGCAAACTAAATACAAGCAGCAAAAAAAATGTAGTGGCATTTTAAATCTCTGTAACATGGAAAGAATTCCACATTACTATACCGCTTAAGAACATCAAAACTAACAATAATGTTTCCTTAATTCATCATTCAACTTTAATTGAATTTTTTTAAGACTTCTAGTCGTTCTTAAACTTTAAATAAAGCATTAAAAAGGAAACAAATGCAATGTAAACCGTCTTTTGAAGACTTTGTGCTTGCGATCGGAGACTCCAGAGCAAGCTGGGAATTGTATCCTCTGCACCTTTGAGCGTACACACAGTTTCTGAGCATTTGCCCGATCCCTTCTGTTTGTCCTAAGCACTGCCTGTACAGAGATCTTGTCATATATCCCTATATCTTTAGTTGTCTGTGGCTAGGATAAGCACAGCTCCGAAGATGCCGATGTTCTGCCCGATGAGCTTCACCTGGTTCCAGAACTCCACGTGGCAGGTACGGTGCCAATAACCGATGTTGCCATCGATGAAAAGCACAACCAAAGGTAACAGAACTGCCAGGATCTGGGAGGCTTCTCGCACGTAGCAGCCCGAGAGGTAGGCGAGCGCAAGCACACCGAACACAACCACCAGAAGCTGGATGGTGATCTCTCCACCAGGGATATGGTCCAGATAGGCCAGTCGATCTTCCTTACTGTGCTGTAGAGAGTAGACCTGGAGGAGAAATACGAATATCAGGAATATTAAACAGTATCATCAGCGATACATGAATTTCCAAGGCCTTTAAATGATCTCAACTTTACTGAAAACCCTGTTGCACACAAGACATCCCTTCTGTCACCTAATTAAGAGTTTATAACATTTTTTTTTTTAGCAAGCAAAAGGCCTTAAGTAAGAATAACTTGTATTGTTAGTAATATTTCAAGATGAACATTTACTGGGCTGAAACAACATCATCTCACTAAGAGACGTTATTGGCAGATTTAGAGTGACGACTGATATTTATATGCATTTTATGCAAGTAGTCTGTTGTACAGTTATAAAGATCTCATTGATTTACATTACAAACTGTCAGGATTTCATCTTAGCCATATAAATCATATCTGCACCAAATTGCGTACGTATTTATTCTCAGTTTAAACAACTCAATGAAGTTTGTTTGAGCTTCACATTCTCATCATACTATATGAGCCATAAAATCCTGATGTATCAAATATGATATAAAACAAAACGTGTATACAAACACTTGTAAAAAATATTTTGTCTAAAGCTTAAATTGTTTCATTTAGAAAATATATTTTTCTGACTGTTAAGGTCAGGCTTCACCGAGTTAAGGATATGGGATATTTGGTTTAATTAAATATACTTAACTTAGTTTACATTTCAGTAGAGCTTAACTGAAGTTTGTAAACCTTATCAGTGAATAATGCATAACTAAATATTCTTAGTGAAATCTATACATGATGTAATAATAGTAATTTCTATCTTGTAACATATTTAACATCTGATAACAACACTTTCTGAGATTTTCCAGGTATGCAAAACACCATTTTAAAATTCCCAGGTTTTCAATATGGCAAGCAAAGTATGGCACAGTCTGACCCGTCTCTGTGAGGCCAGTACAGTGATCAAGTGGACAAACTCACCATGCAGATCAAGTAAATCCCCAGGAAGACCTGTCCAGTGGACTGAAGCGAGCGTGTGCGAGGCTTCTGTCTGTAAACCTCTCCTGCTCCACTGGCCAGCACCAGAAACCCTCCGATGATGGCCATCGCTCTGGAGTACATCCTCACCTGTGGAGGTCAGGAGTGAAACCAATGTATCCATTCATCTCTATTGTCCATATATGCTCTAAACAGCATTTAATTACAAGCAATGGATAGATGACCTTCCTTTGACTGCTGTGTTATGTTCAAACAGAGATATTACTGCAGTTATATAACACTATATTGCAGATGGTTAATCCCCTGGGTGGTTGTGATATGAAAAATGGATTTGCATGAGCAGTCAGAGACGAAGTAAGTGGGAAGATCCACAAAAGTAGAACAAAAGTGTCATTTGTATTCAAATGAGAGTTCAGCAGGGAAGGTGTATTTTTGCAGGCCAAAACTCTGAAACAAGTTCGCATTTTCAGTTCTATCATTTTATTGTACAACATAAAATACATCAGTAATACCCCAATAGTGATCATTTTTTAACAGAGGTTTATATTCTATAAACAGAGGTTGTCGGACATGTAAACTCATCTACTCTTTCACAGCCTCATCGCGCTCTTTCAAACTAAACTAACTCGAACTTTCAGGGAAAATGTTTTTCGATAAAGACTGAAAGAGATGCGGGAAGCTTAATGGTGGCGACATTGAAGTCATGTGACTGTGGTGTTGTAGCTTGTTTATAGCCCACGTTTAGCTTTTTACCGCTTGTGTATTTGTATACTGTAGTTGTATTTAAGCCTCAAAATGCATGAAAGCTGTGTTCATTTGTGAAGATGATCATGAGGAACAAAACGTTAGAATCATACATTTTGTAGGGTAACCGCTTATTTTATTTTCACCAATAATCCAAAAGCTGATGGAAAATGTTCTACTGTGGTTTTGTTGAGTTAAACGACTTAAAGGGATAGTTCACACAAAAATGAAAATTCTGTCAATAATTACTCACACTCGTGTCGTTCCAAACCCATAAGACTTTCATTCATCTTCAGAACACAAATGAAGATCTTTTTGATGAAATCTGAGAACTTTTTGTCCTTCCATAGACAGCTATGCAACTACCACTTTCAAGCCCCAGAAAGGTTTTTAATGAAGCGACAGGAAGTGCTCCGTGTGTGCAATAATACATAAATACAAAATATTAATCTCCAACGCAACTTCATGAGAGCACCACGACGCGGCGTGCGAGTTGTTGACGAGAGAGCAGGCGTTGTTGTCGGAGATTGATATTTTGTAAATAAAGTTATAAATAAAATTGTGTTTTTTGCGCACACAAAGCACTCACGTCTCTTCATAAAATTGAGGTTAAACAACTGGAGTCGCATGGATTACTTTAATGATGTCTTTACTATCATTCTGGGGCTTGAAAGTGGTAGTTGCGTAGCTGTCAATGGAGGGACAGAAAGCTCTCACTGATCATCACTGCTGCAAACAATTATTTTTGGTGTCACAAGAAAAAGGAAAAGTTACACAACAATGAGTCCTGTATTTACCTTCAACCAGTCTCCATAATGGACCTGTCCACCCATATAGGACACATATGTGCTGAGGACCAAGTGAACGGCAGCAGCCAGAGCGAACCATCTTCTCTTCACCCCAAAGGACATGAAGCTGGCACACAACACCGCAGCTCCTAAGTCTATGTACAGGTAAGGCACCTGGATGTCTGGCTTCCTAAAAAAGAAAGAAAAAAGCATTTTTTTTTTTAAAGAGAATGAATATAAGCCAGTAGCTAAATTTAAGACTTTGCCAACTTTATGTGGTATTTGGATGGTTGGTTTGGTCAATTCTTTGAATGAAACTTAAAGCATTGCAAAACAGCAGTTTAGGCATGATGATGTACAAATCCAGTTTAAGCACAAGCACTTCATCGAATATTCTTTTGTTGAATTACTGCATGTCACATGTGTTTACACTGTGTCCCTGCAAGCCTTCTTTTGAGCTTTCCTACGTACCGTTTCACATCCGCGCGCTCCGCGAACAGCATCAACATGCTGAAACTGTTCCAGAACCCGAACCGAGTCAGAATAAAGGCTCCGAACTGCGAGAAAAATCTCAGTGCTTTTTTACGGGTTGCAGCAGCCATGGCTCAGGATGGCGGAAGTACCATCTCCTTCCTAGGGATCGTGAACGAATCGTTCATATGAGTCGAGTCTTTTGATTGAATCAGTAACGCTTCGCGAAAATAAGAACTGTTGACAGCCAGATGAAGAATGAAATGTAGCATTGTTAAATCGGAAAACTTTTCATGTGCTGGTATTTTTTTCTTTTTTTCGTAGACCTACATTTTCCCATAAAACTGTCTTGAATACTGAATATGTGTATGCTCACGCCACAATATAACTGAATACGTTCAGTGTACAAATAAATGCATAGTAGTTTCATCTTTTTAGTAGTTCCATGATAGTTATTACAAAAAGTTTATATTTATACCTTTTTTACATTTCTTTAAACAGTGATTTAGGCTACTGGATACAATCTGAGTCAAAGTTAAAGGAGATTTGTGTAACCTTATTTCTAATTTGAGACCTATGGGGCCTAATAACCACACTTTTCCATTCAATAAAGATACATCTCATATAGCATAACAATTTCTCGAATTTCTCTTCTCCGATTTCCTGATGGCTGCAGCAAGGACGTAAATGCGTCATGACGTAAAAGAATCATGAATCATTTATTTGAACCGTTTCTTTGAAAAGAACCGATTCTCGGAAATGACTCGGACTGTCCATCGCTACGCCGTTCAGGAATCTTGTTGGCAAAAAAAGTGAACGCTTGCTGCTCGATAGTAACTCTGTAATGTATGAAACAAAGTAGTTTTCCTCCAGAGGGCGTAAAGATAGCCGAATTCCCCATTAAACTGTATTCAAATATATATATATATATATATTTTATAGATAAACTGATTCATTTACAGAACATGGTATTTGAGAATTTCAATATAAATCTCTAATTCAATATAATCTTTAAAGTTTTTTGTTACAAACTACTGTGATCCACCCCGATGATTCATATGACAACGTTGTTCAGCTACTTTAGATTCCCTGAAAAGTTAACCTAGGATTAATAACAAAAACAACAAACATTATTGTTATTATTATTATTGTAATATCTAACAAAACACAGTAACTAAGATATGAACATTTGAACACAATACATATTCTTGGATAATACTACATTAAATAAAAATAAATAGGGTGAAAAAACAAACAAATAAGTATACAATAATGAGTAAATTCTTGAAGGTTAATAAAGTAGCCTAGGAATACATGAATTTAAAGAACAAATAATGAATTAATAATATGGATAGAAATAATATGTATAAAGAAAATCATCATAAACATTGACCTTTTGGATACACCTTTTATTAGGCTATTTTTATCATTATTATGACTCACTTGCACACTTTGATAAGTTGAAGTGTTTTCAGTGCCATCTTGTGTTTACCAGATAAAAATGCAACAACAGTGCGCATGGAAGTGTCATATTGGCTTCAAACTCTTCTTGATGCTGCTAACCATCCAGATTAAGTGTGTTTAATAACTGATTAAGCCTTAATTAACTGACACCAAATATAATACAAAATACTATACAAGATCTTATGAACTCAAATAATTTTTTTGTTTAAGTTAGATGTCTTTAAAGAACACTCAGTCAGAATTGAATGGCTTTGTATTCATTGTATTGACTCATAAAACTAGTCAAAGATCATTTTTAAAGAAAAGTAAGGTGACCTGGTTCTGGGAGAGTGACAGCTCCTGATATCTATGACCCATAAACCTTTCTTGGTGCTTGATTAGTCTTAGCTCAATTACTAAAGCTTTAGCGTGTGACAGTCTCTTGGAAACAATAAGTCAGTTGTCACCACTTGTCTAACTGGCTTTAGAGAACAATTCGACATTCATCGAATATTTATTAATATGAGGTTGCATAGAATATACAAACAATTATTACTTTTTCTTCCTACACTGAAAAAAAATTGGTGAAGGATTTACTTTGAAACTATTTTTATTCAGAAATTGCTAGAAAACTTCCATAGTATTTTTTTTTTTTTTTCATACTATGGAAGTCAATGGGGACCAACAACTGTTTACACACATACTTCAAAATATCTCCCTTTGTGTTCAACACAACAAAGAAACTCATGCAGGTTTAGAACAACTTAAGGGTGAGTAAATGATGACAGAATTGTAATTTTTTGATGGACTATTCCTTAATGCATTACCTAATTCACAATGCAATCTGATATGCTTTTAATGAAAGTGTAGTGCTAATATAACGTCTCAATAATGTCATATTAAAGAGCAGTAAAGCTCCTCGTCATAAAGTCACTCATCACGAATCAAGGCTTCAATGTCCCTCTTGCTAATTCAGGACAAAGGGGGCCTAAGCCAGATCCTCAGGCTTACAGGAGAAGCCAGAGCCACAACAAGCTTATTCAGGAGTTCAATACACACTCAACTGCGAAGATGTGTCTGAGTTGAAAAACTTTGCAACTGTAAGTGTGAATTCAGTCCCGCTCAGGTCTGGCTCACATCTCTGGAAATGTTTTCCTCCACTGCCATGTCCAAAACTATGCAACATAGCTTTTTAAAGGTGATTTGTTGGCCCCGAAACACTCTCAGTCATCAGATAACAGTCTTGTTTTTCCAACATGGCCAATGGTTGAAAGCATTGCCGTTATTAAGCAGATCGCAGTAATAGTAATCCTGCGCTGAGCAGTTTATTAGGCACTGATGCCAATGGCTGATGGTCAAAAGTCCCAGTGACACTCTTTGACACTGGATCTAAGATAATGAGTTCAACCCTCACGTTCTGTTTAGGATCTAGAGAGCCCAAAACTGAGTTTCATTATTTCATGACTGAGTGTAAACAAAAGTTCAACTGGTTAATGCAGCACTTTGTCAAGAAGACAAACTTTGAGAAAGCCTGGAAAATTTGAAGAAGTTTTAAAAGCTTGTAGTAGTTTGAAGGCAATACAGTCTAGCACAATGCCAACGTGTTTAGCCAATTGGTAAAATTTAACACGTTGCTAGCAAGTTTTAGCATCATTGTTTCAATGTTTCTAATTTAGCACACATTAGCATTTTAGCATTAGGCTAGCATGATATAGTATGTTGGTAACATGATTTAACACATTGCTAGCATGTTGGTAGCATGTTTCTAGCATGATTTAACATGTTGGTAGCATGTTTCTAGCATGATTTAGCATGTTGCAAATATGTTTCTGCCAGGATTTAACAGATTGTTAACCTGTTTCTAAAATGATTTAGCACATTGTTAACATGCTTTACCATGATAGCAGGTTTCTATCATGCATCAGCACAATGAAAACAAGTTTTGACATGTTTCTAGTATGATTTAGCACATTGCTAGCATGTTTAAGCAGTATGTTGATAACCTGATTTAGCATGTTGGTAGCATGTGATTTAGTATACATTAGCATTTTAGCATTAGGCTAGCATGATATAGTATGTTGGTAACATGATTTAACACATTGCTAGCATGTTTCTAGCATGATTTAGCATGTTGCTAACATGTTTCTACCAGGATTTAACACGTTGTTAACCTGTTTCTAAAATGATTTAGCACATTGCTAACATGCTTTACCTTGATAGCAGGTTTCTGTCATGCATCAGCACAATGCAAACAAGTTTTGACATGTTTCTAGCATAATAACACGTTTCTAGCATGATTTAGCACATTGCTAGCATGTTTAAGCATAATGCTTGCAAGATATAGTATGTTGATAACCTGATTTAGCATGTTGGTAGCATGTTTTAGCATGTTGCTTCATATTTTTGTGGAAACTGTGATAGGCCTACTTTTTCCCCAGGATTCTTTGCTGAATAAAGTTCAAAACAACAGCATTTATTTGAAATAAACATTTTGTGGCAATTATTACAAAAAGCAATTACTACTTTTGATCAATTGAATGCATCTTTGCTGAATAAAAGTGTTCATTTCTTTAAATATAGTAGGATATATATACTTACTGACCCCAAACTTTTGAACGGTAGTGTACGACTCAGTATTTATTATGCTTGGCTATTAATGGAGTTTTTATTAATGACTGTCTAATGACTTCCTCACAGAGCATTTCACTTTGGAAACCAACATTCACTACTTCTACTGTCTGATTATGTTCAACCAATGCTCACATTGAGCTCTTTCTATGCCAAAGGTCGCATGGATCCTTAGTAAGATGCACGGATTATTTTAGGCTTCCACAAGAAGTATGTTATTGGTTAATGATGAATTTGACACAGTAATTCCATCAGTGCATCTTCATTTTTCACATGCTGCCCTTTCCTCCAGTATTTCAATGTTGTTTAGAGGTTACTTCTCATGGCCATCCTACTTGCTCTCATTGGCCTAATGAGATCAGTGGAGATTGACGACATCAGAGCGCAATCCCCATCACCAGGATCAATCTCTACACCTGAGAAAGAGTAAAGGGAAGGAGGGGGTCCGAACAGCAGAAATAGAGGAGAAGAGCCTGAGATCCACAGACTCGGAGGAAGACCTCCACGCTGATGATCTCTTAGGAGACATCAGGACATTTCTCCGACTGCTGCCCGGCCCTCCGTTCAACAGGTAAATGGATTATTTTTTACTTTTATTTCTTTATTTTTGGTCAGAATATATCAAATGTTTAATTGACAGAACTGTCAAGTGAGAAATCAGTTTTACTGAAACCACCAGGACGGATTTTTTTTTATTATTATTAACATGGCAGCCATTTGAGAATTCTTTTTAAATCTTAATAAATGCACTTTTTGACATATAAATCATGAGTTAGGCCTACTAAACATTTCTTTAAAGCTGATTGAAACAAAGCTTTATACAAATAAAAAATACATCTATAAGCATTTTCTCTGTGGATCTTCATATTTGTTTTTTACATTATGTAGCCTACTTTTAGTACACTGAAAAATGTTAACAATTAAATGAACTGCTATTTAACATTAGTGAATCAACCAACAAATATATATTGTTTTATTTTTTTTATTTTTACAGTGTAGTAGCATTGTTCATGAGACTTTTTCGATGTGAATATTGAGCTTAATTTCCCACATATCTTATTTGCTCTGAATAGACAGGATGGCTCGGGATATGACAGATAAAGACATCCTGAAGATGGAGCTGGATCAGCTGAAGGTGGAAGTGAACACTCCCCGAATTGCGGTAAAAATCTTAAGAATTTAAGATTTTAAATCTTAAATCGCGGTTTTCCCGCGACGCTGACATGCGTCGCGCGATTTTAACCGCAAAAAAACGCGTTCTGTGTGTGAATAGACCTTATTGAGAGCAGCGCCATGACAGGAATGGAAGGCTGTGAGGGAGACTTCCCGTGTTTACAATGACATAAAAAGCTGGATAATATGGAAGCTTGTTTCCGCCACAGAATAAAACATTTTAAAAGATTATTTTGACTTTTTAATCTCACAATTGCGAGTTTACATCTCACAATTCTGACTTTTTCTCAGAATTGAGTGTTATAAAGTCAGAATTGCGAGACATAAACTCACAATTGCGTGTTATAAAGTCAGAATTCTGAGATAAAAAGTCAAAATTACCTTTTTTATGTTTTATTCTGTGGCGGAAACAAGCTTCCATGATAAAGCTTCTAGATCACTAATCATTTTTGTACAGCTCATGTTGCCTGGAATGTTTTTTGTCAACTGAAATTTCTCAGAAAGATTTTTTTTTCAGTGTATTGTAAGCAAAACAATCCAAAAACATATTAAATAACCCAGACAGCAACATAGTGTCGGCCCAGATCCGGGCCACGTCTACATGTGGATTCCACGCATAGCCGGTTGCAGAAACCACTTAGACTAGTCTTACAAGTTAGTCATCGAAATTTTTCTTTAAAACTGTTTAAAAAAAATGTACGTCATAAAAACATACATTGCACTAATTTGATGCCGAAAACTAAGACTAACCATCCCTTGACTAACTGCTAGTGGGTCATAGCCTACTAGATCTTAAGACACTGTCTTAACATAATGGCTAAGTTTAGGCGACTGGCCCCAGATGTGATCTGGGCCGACACTGTTGAAATGTTATGTTAAAAATCAAAGATGGTGCTGCTGTGAATAAGGTCTATGGCCCCTGAGTCAGCATTTGCAGATAGATCCTCTGTTTGGTTAGGCTACTTTAATTCCAATTGGAGCGGCAATTTAAAGAAACAATCATCCTTGAACCATATCTCCCGATTATTTTTCTCAGGTTTCAACCTCAGCCCCAGAAATCATTGCTTTCGTTGAGGAGAAGTCTGGCGAAGACCCCCTGGTCAAGGGCGTCCCCGAGGACAAGAACCCATTCAAGGAGAAGGGAGGCTGCATTATCACGTAGCGGCGGCCCTGGGGTCACCAGGGCTCGGTTCAACGTCTGCTTTTGTATGAAAGTTTATTTGTACTAGAAACTCCACTAAATATTATCCAGCTCCAGAAGTTTAAGAGGACCCCCTCATGTCATTCAATACCTTTTATGATATGATGTTTTCTGTCTGTTTTTAAAATAAACTCATTAGCAATCTAGGCAAATGTCTTACGGTTCTAATTTCAGCAGCCTATAAATGGACTCGAGACCCTAATTTGACTTTAAAGGGATTGTTCGCCCCAAAATGAAATTTCTGTCATCATTTACTCATTCTCAGGTCTTTTTAAACCTGTATGACTTCTGTTTTGTCCATATACAGTTCAAGTCAAAACCACTATAAGAACTTTTTGTGCAACGGTAACTATCTCCTGAGGGATTTGCATCTGAAGAAGGTATTTAAAAAAGCGTCTGAAAGCCATGTGTTGTCTTGCATTAGCGCTCTGTATGCGTAAAGCTCTGCAGGAAGATTGAATCAGTGGCTGGTGTGTGTCATTGGCTGCTGTGATAACGGGATTTGGGTGTCAGGTCTCTCTGTCCCGCTGAAGAGCAGCTGCTTCCTATATGTTTCGAGAACCTTAAGCTCATTCTCTGATCCTCATCTCAGGATTGAGCTTTTCATCCTGTAAGCTCCTTTTCCAAGTTTGTGCCACTGCCCCACTCTCTCTCTCTCTCTCTCTCTCTCTCTCTCTCTCTCTCTCTCTCTCTCTCTCTCTCTCTCTCTCTCTCTCTCTCTCTCTCTCTCTCTCTCTCTCTCTCTCTCTCTCTCTCTCTCTCTCTCTCTCTCTCTCTCTCTCTCTTCATCTCCTATTTAAATACTGAGCCGGTAATTGGGATGAACTGTAGCTCTTGTGTGTGAGCAAAAACACAACAACAAGGTACTTTAGTTTGATTTTGAATGGGTTTCACCAGGTTTCCAGGGTTTGATCCCTATAGACAGCACATCTGAAGCTCTTCTATAATGAGAGTTAATGGTACCTTAGATTTTGAAGCCCAAAAAAGCGCATCTTTCCATCATAAAAGTAATCCAAACGTCTCGAGGGGGTTAATAAAGGACTTCTGAAGCGAAGCCATGCGTTTTTGTAAGAAAAATATCCATAATTATAACTTTATAATCACCGGCTTCTGGTAACGGCCATACGGGAGTCGAGTTCCGGCTGAAGAGTGACCTTTGACCCGACACATATTGACGAACACAGAAGCGCAGAGGATGGAGCAAAACAAAACACAGTCTAAAAAGATCATTTTTAAAGCTAATTTTTTGACAAAACCGCACGGCTTCGCTTCAGAAGGCCTTTATTAACCCCCTGGATGGATGCGCTTTAAAATCTGTGGTACCATTCACTCCCATTATAAAGCTTGGAAGAGCCAGGATATTTTTTAATATAACTCTGATTGTGTCCGGCTGAAAGAAGAAAGTCACATACACTTAGGTTGGCTTGTGGGTGAATACATTTCATTTTTGGGTGAACTAACCCTTTCAGTGGATTGAATGTGCACTTTTACTTCAACTCTTCAAAGTATCATTTAAAAAAAACTTAAATTGCATATAATATAATATTAATGCTATAAAAGTGCACTTTCATATTTTTTTTTTTTTTTAAAGTGCAAAAATGTCAAATTAAGTTTTACTTTAAAGTACATTTTAAATGTTTTAATTGTTTGCCGTGCTTTAAAGAATTGCACTTTTTTGATGTGTTGACTTTCATATACTAAGTAAATATATTTTAAATGTACTGAATTACAACATCATTACAACTGTGTACATATTTAAATACATGACGTACAAGTTTAGCATACTCACCGGACATGTCACCCATTGAGCAAGATTTAGACAGATTTGTGAACAATATTTGAGAGAAATAGGACTACATTCATTATGCCGTAGACAGTTGTCTACAATTTAACACAAATTAGCTCTGTGATGGGTTCTAGTTTTTTTTAAGTTTTTTTTTTACATTCATTTATTCTGGTTGCGAACCACGCTTTTTTTACGTCTCGGCAGTATTATTGCAACCCCCTCTCAAATTTCTCACCATAAGTGGGTCAAAATGCACCGTGAGATTCCTGAAGGGATGTAAAAAAAAAGAAAGAAAAGCTGCTCATGTTACACCCCTTCTGAAATCCTTACACTGGCTGTCTGTTCATTACAGAATTGAGTTTGAAATTCTCCTGCTTATTTATAATTGAACACTGTGTATTTACTCCATCACCATAATCCCTTGAGGAGCCTAAGATCTGAGGATAATAATTTACTCCAAATTCCTAAAACTGGTTTAAAGAGCCGAGGGAAAAGGGCTTTTGCAGTGACTACTGGTCCCACGTTATGGATCAGACAGCCAAATTATAAGTGTACAGTATAGCTTTTACCTTGTCTACTTTCAAATATAGTCTTAAAAAGTTGTTGTCTTGTTTTAGATTTGGGAAATCTGCATTTGTCGGCCATTTTCTCTGCAAACTCAAGTTATCTCAAATCAGTTTTTTGCTTTGTCATGTATTTAGTGTAGATTGATGTGTGTGTGTGGTTGTGTTTTGCAAGGCTCAAAAGTATGCTAAAGTGTACTGCTTTTTCAGAAGGGACTTTACCATACTTTTTTTTTTTTTTTTTTTATATTTAATGATTCATCAAGATTTTTTATTTATAGAAAATGTGCCAAGAAAAGAATCTTGAGGGAAAGGCAGATAGTTATTTTATAATAATATTAATAGTTATTGTGTTGCATGCATGTGAAAATCAAGCAGGCTGACTTGCAGTTACTTTAATTAGGGCTGGAAAATCTTATCGATAAATGCCTGTCATAAAGTCATAAAGATAAACACAGCGCACGTACAAAGATGTTTTTTTCACAATTTAGTCTTATCTTAATTACCTTATCTGGTAACGATACACAAAGAATCCATTTCTACACTGTTGCTTAATTTAACAAGATGAAAACTCAAAGACATAAAGATAAAACATTGTGCAAAAGTTTTCTATATTCATAAAGTTAATGAATCACCTGTGCCGATTTAAGGTGCTTAGTGATCGATCTTTCAGGCAACAATAATGTTTTATTAGTGTTTATAGGCATAGCAACATTTAAAATTCAGCAATATTATTGATTTGTTTTACGTTTGATCTGTGTGACGCATGCGCAGGACTTCCGAATTTTTGTAGTTTACACACACGATAACGGTCTTGTCTTCAAAAACTTGCACTTTGAAACCCTTTTTTAAAAGTTTGTGTTTTCAGACGTGTAAATAAACGGCCAAAACACATAAAAAGGTCTTCCGTTTTTTAGTTGAAAACGGTGTCGCGTAAACGGCCCCTCAGTTAGATTTCACTGTTCTCAGTTCAGCTTCCTGTGTTTTCTTCTGTTGCCATGGTTTTTGATTTGCCCTCATGTGTCTCACCTGTGTCTTGTTAATTATCTCGTTTAGCCGCTAGTGATTCCTTGTGTATATATAGCCCTAAAATCTTTATTTTTTTTCCTCCTTTGTTTGAAACCACAGCGTGACCATTTAACTGTACTGACACTATTGGATGAGAACTGGATGAGCTGTTTAAAGCTGAATTAAACACAGGATGAATATTGCTCATTCATTGAAAAGAACTGATTTAAAACTGGACTGACCTCTGCTGAACAATTACACTATTTTCCATTCAGAGCTGCTTTACAGAATTGAACCATTAAATCATTATTTTTCCCTGTAAAGCTGCTTAGAAACAATCTACATTGTGTAAAGTGCTACATGAATACAGGTGACTTGACTTGACATAGAGTAACTGAGCAAAATTACACAACCTCAGTTCTGGCATGACATTTTTCCACTTGCTGTTTCACCTTATTCGGATCATTAAGAGTTGAGGTGAGGATCTAATTGTAAAAACGGTCTATAATAATTGAAAACACGACACTTTGCAACTCAGCAACACACTAGCATAGACATAAAAGCCAGACTAAATTATGCCTGCACTGACCCACCTCAGCCCTTATTATACAGTTAAAATTGCTGTGTAAATGCATTTATGCCACCTCTGAGCAGCATTAAACAGTCTGTGTAAATACACATAATTTCCACTTTATTTGGGCAAAAAAAAACTTTTTTTCACAACTTTTTCTCCCAATTAATATTTTTGAGTAGGCTAGTTAGGAATGATTATAAAAGAAATCCAACTTTCATGATATCTTATTCCTCAGATATAGGACATTGAGTAACGCTTTAGATTACAGCCCTATGTGTAATTAAGAGGAATTTACAGTGTAACTTTCTGCAATTATAGTGTACCTATAAAGTACTTACATGTAAGTATAAGGGAACTATGTAAAGTTTGGGGAATAAAGGGGTAACAACCAGGAGAATTAAAAAAATATGTATACTGTAAGTGTTATAGAACAAAGGGGTACTTATTCTACGTTTATGATACAACAATCTTACATTTGGGAGCAATTTAGCGAGAACATACACTGCGTACCTTTTTGTAATAATGCTGAACCAATACATACTGTATAGGCTTTTTTAAAATGACAGGGTACATATCTATGCATTTATTATTTATTTATTTATTTTTATAGCAAAAGCTAAGACTACTGCAATTTTTTTAAATATACTTGGAAATATATCCGGTTTCATGTGGTTACAGGGTAAGTGGTGCTTGTATAATAAATAAAGGTTTCCGAGTCAGTGAGATAAGATTGTGTGTGTGCATTTTTATTGTACTTACACCTGTAACTACATGGAACAAGGGGGTAACAAGCACCACTACATGAAACAAGAGTACCTTTCCCCAACATTGAAGCAAAAGTTGCAATAGTTTTCGTTTTCAGTGCACTTTTGTTAAAAAGATTACTCTATAAATGCATAGATATGTACCCTGTCATTTTTAAAAAGCCTATACAGTATGTACTGGTTCACCATTATTTCAAAAAGGTATGTTCTTGCTAAATTGCTCCCAAATGTAAGATTGTTATATCATAATAGTAGAATAAGTACCCTTTGTTCTATAATACTTACAGTATAAATATTTTTTTAATTCTCTTGGTTGTTACCCCTT